CAAACTATATTTCTATCTGACAGGATGGGTGAATCAGATTCAGAGGTGAAGATCAGAACATTCTAAGTCATACACATCTACAACAAAAGGAATATCAAATGTAGATACTTACACTGGACTCAGGCCCTTTTTCACCCGATATGGGAATTTCCACCCATGGTCTCTCCATTTGCTACTGTAGAAGGTTCATTAAAGCTCTTCTGGATGTGTGGGGTGGGGTAGGGAGCTGACTTTTCTCCTTTCTTCTCCAGCCAGTTATGAGATTTCCACTGCTTTCTTCAGCTTGAAAAGGTAGGTAATTGTTTGATGTCTGACTATAAATCATGACTCACTGGAATCAAACCTTAAAAGAACTTCAAACTCCTTTAAGGATTTCTGCGTGCTTTTTTAAGGGCCCTGAGGGCCCTCCATGTAGACGCAGCACCCCTACCTAATAGTATGGAGCAGATGTGAAGAAATCCACGTGCTTCCCTAAAGAAGCAAGACAGGGTGGGTGTGGGGAGTGAAGGCACAGTCTCATTGGAAGAGTGGTCAAAAGCTGCTCTAGTGGGTGACTGGAAAACACTCAAAGCAAGAAACACTTCCCCGATTTAAGTGGGGAGGAAAACAACTTCTGAATTCCCTCCTCCCCATCCCCAGCATCTGCTTCTCCAACTTTCCACTAAAACTTTGTCCACTATGAGCTAAAATGAGTTTGCTAATTTATCATCATCTTCAACTGTTCTTGGTCATGATGACTGATATATTTTTAGACAGTGATCTAGTGATAACACTTGTCGTATCTGAGCAACAATAAAAAGAATCAATAATTTGTAGATGGCTAATTATAAGGGTTCCTTCCTTATTCACTGTCTGGATTTTCTCATCCATGGCAAATAATGTGGTAGTTTGCCAAAATCCATCCCCAACACACACACCATCACACCTCCAAGGAAAGAAATCTCACTGTCTTGAAGATTCAGTGTCGACCATTTTGTTACTTTTCACATCAGTGCAGTTTCTATTTCCAAAACTGGTACTAAATGAAAAGTCTTAAGTTACACAAATGATTCCAGGTCAGAAGTTGGTAGGTGCCATCTTAAAAGTATTTTTAGTGGAGTCCTAATCACTACTTTATTTCAAAACATGTTATCAAACCAACTTTAGAGCAGCCTTTGATTTGTGTGCATGAGGCCCTAAGGGGACGGTGGGGTGGAGGCTGGCAGTTTGAGGGCCCTGAAATTCGATTACCATTTTAAATGTTCATAAATGTGCTATGTGCCTTTGAGAGAAAGACAGTCCATTGCTTTCATAAGTTTCTCAAAGGGGCCCACAGTCCTCTCACAAGATTAAGAACCTGCTTATGAATATCAAATATTAAATTCAGGTCTTAGCAAATACAAGTCAAAATTTCCTGAAACATTTGGGAATTACAATGCTTTCATATTCAGCTAGGTCTTGACTAGACCTTGAGTAACCTAAAAGCTTTATTATTCTCAGTGCCCTGGCCTGGAGTATTTTTTTCCTCAGGAAATTATTTTAGTTGTAAAACTGAGTATCAAAATGGAATAAAATAGACTAATATTTTGGTTCCTAGTAATTTCATATCTTTTCCACAAATTTACTAATGAACTCCTTTAGAAAATATCAAACTTAAATGTTGCCCATGTAATTTACAAAAGTGATAATTGTTCATGCAATATTGAAACTGAAACATAAGTTTGACTTTTTTTTATCCATATAAAAATCATGAAGATGGGAAGGACAAAAAGCTACTGTAGTATCTCCCTAGAAAGGTTTTCCACAGAAATTCTCAAATTTAAAAACTCTGCATTGAAGCTTTCTATAAGAAAGACACTTTAAAAGATTTGAATCTTGGATTAAAATTTTCCTCTTAAAACTTGTAGAGTAAGAATTTGGCTCACATTTATGAAGTTTGAATGGGGGAAAGTGTGCTATTTTAAATTGACAAGTGTATGCAACATGTTTAGTTTTTTGTTTGTTAAGTTTGTTAGCTCTAGATTTTTCTCTTGGCACACTCAAGGGTCCTGGTTTCAAAATTTGGGCTATGTGCCACTAATCAAAGATGAGCTAATTTCAAAAGCGGCCACTGTATGTGAACAGTACCTACCCTTCAAAAGGGCTAATATGTATCCTTAGTACACAAAGATGCATGAATATGCATTTAAAGCAAAAGGAATTCTATGCTGTGAATTTATAATATGCAAATCTCTGCCTTATGTGCATTTACTTTTGAACTTGCAATTTTCTAATATATATTCACGGACCACATCTTAACTCTAGGCAAGCTGTTATAGTGCACTCCTATCTGTCAGATGAAATGTGTGAAAAGAATACAGAAATTAACTGTGGCAGGTGCATTGATAAACCTCCAGACTCTGAGGATTTTTTTTTTAAGTAGCAATAAAAAAAGCAATAGAGAACTTATCGAAAGGCGAAAGCTTATTTTCTGAAGGAAACTCCTCATAGGCTACCTTAAGGCTACTGGAAACTCCAGAAATTCAAATGAGGTTACTGACCAAAGATAAACTAAAATGTTCAAGTCACCATAATTGGCAGCTCCATTTTTGGAATAGACCCCATTATTTCTATTTTGCAGGTGGGGTGGCCTGGGGGACCCCCTTGAAATGGCCTTTATTAGCTAGTGCTGGTGCATGGTGCAAATGGTTGAAGCTTTGGAGACACTGATATGGCCTGATATTTGGTGCCTGCAGTTCTGGGAGAAGCACTACTCTCATGTAAAGCAACAGCTCAGGACCAGGATAAAGGAAGGGGTCATCTCCTCACTACCCCTACTGGGATGAAATCCTGAAACTGCCCTGGAAAGACAAGGAGCCTTGGCAGATACCAAGATCAATGGTATTGGGAATCAGCAACTTAATGTTCTTTGCTAAAAAAAAAAAAAAAAAAAAAAAAAAGAAAAAAAGAAAAAATATCTAAGAGTAAGGGAGCATCTCTACAAACGAACTTATTTCCAGCATAATTTAAAAATAAGATTCAATGAGTGCCTCCTCCCCAACCAATATGGAAAAAGTTTGGGTACCAACACACAGTTAAGCTACTTAAACTGCAGTAACGTAGGACTTAATCGTGCTATAGGATAGGATAAAAGCTCTAATCCTAAACATTAAGCACTGCATTAAATGGTTTAAAGGAACAACCTGCTCTGAGCTCTGCTCATCCATGCAAGGATTATGTAATCTCAACGCCCTAGCTAAATTCCTAATGTTTACCTAACGCACTGGTTAAGCCTCCAGTAGAACATAGGTCTCTTGGACTTACACCGAAATGTAACCTTCTCCCTTCCATACTACATTACAGCAGCACTTACTATTGAGGCGGGAGCCTAGAAAGTCTAAATCATGTACCAGAGGCTTTTTCTGATGGCAGAGCCCACAGTGATACTCCGGCCACCACGATCACCATTTACAATAGAGGACCCTAACTAGAACTCTGGAGATGTAAGTACTGAACACAATTTTGAAGATCCATCACAGAAAAAGACAAAAACCACAACACAGAGTCGATGGCTTATAAAATTATTCAGGTAACCACATATCACAGATAATTTTTGTTCTTCATCTATTCTTCTCACTTGGGCAGAAGATGGAGGCAGTGAGCAAGTAGCAATAAGGCGGCCCATAGCTAGCTGAAGAATGACTCACAATGAATGAAAGAGGCAGCAGGAATATCCAAACATAACCTCAAAACATTTAAATATTGCTAAAAAGCCTCTGTGAGGCTTTATAAAATGTATCAAGGAATGAAGCTCATATGAGAGTGATATTCTATATATTAAACATCTCTCTGTGTGTGCCTGTGGTAATATATATGCACCTATGCATATATCTACTTAGACAGCACACAGATTCACTCAAGGAAAACAGCCTGGCAATTAATTTGGAACTCAAATGACATGGTTACACATAGATCATAATTTCTAAACACAATGTTAGTAAAACAAAATTTATTTGTAAAACAGGACCTGTTATATAAAATGGCACACAATCAAGTTATACAAAAATACAAAATTTCTTTCTGATTACAGTTCTAGTTGCAAATGATAATTAGAAAGCATTCCTGGTGGCTTCCAAATAGCTGAGATTGCGAGCAAATGGAACAGGGAGCAGCAAGAGTCCATGATGCTGGGATGTCCAAGTGAGTAGAACCTAATTTCCAAATTCAAGACTTCCATCAGGTCACTTTGGAGGGACATCTCCTAGAATAGCTAGCTCCTAGAATGTCTTCTGTTTTGATACTCATCTTCCAAACTTTTTCCAATCCTAAATTTAGTTCCCAATGTTTCTTAATGTCCAAAATCTGTGTGGCTATGAAACAGAAGGTATTCTGAATTTCCTTACATGATTTGCTCTCTCATCTATTTGGAAAATTGTTAGTTACATAATTATATTTATTCCATTTCAAATGATATAAAAGAGTACAATGATACCGTTTGGCGATGTTAGATGTTAACTTCTGGAGAATTATTGTTTCAAAATAGCTAGTCTCACAATGTTGGTTTCCCAGGTCTTGCCAAGATATGAGCTCTTAACTGTGTGTGTGTGTGTGGTTTTTTGTTTGTTTTTTTTTTTTAAAAATCCAGACTCTTATTGCAAATATTCTGAAAAATCAGAAATATTACATGAGCTTTGAAAAGAAACCAAGGCATTTAGCAAATTTTAGCCTAGCTAGAGTAAAGAACACGGATACTTAAAAAAAAAAATACAATTTACCTTTTGCAGCAATTTAAAGGTCTAACCCTTTGAAAGGAAGCACATTAGCAAACAGCTGCTTATTAAGCCCTAGTGACATTAATTGTATGCATTTCCATCATACCGGTCTAATTCACTGTCTAATTCTGGTAGGAGGCAATGCTTTCTTTCAAAAGATTCTTCTTCCATGGAATGATAAAATGCTGAGGCTTTTTTTTTTTTTTTTTGTACAGAGCCTGTATTTAGTGCAATAAGTTTAAAAAATTTGCTCTGAAATATTTACTTTACATTAACAAAAATAGCCTTTTTTAAAAAAATTGTAACAAAAAGGAGTTATCGCATAAACAGATCATGAATTATTCTTAGCAAATTACACTTTTTTTTTTCTTAAAGCATTCACCATTACAATAAGCAGAACAATGGAATATTAGCCATTCATATCTGGTAAGCTTTAGGAATTTAAAAAAAAGAAAAACAACAAATAAACAAAAAAACCCCAAACCCATCCCCAAACAAAAAGAATGTTCGACTCTTAGGATCAAAACATAACCAATTCTTCAGTTAAACATTGTAGAATCTGGATACTGAATGAATTGCCAAGGAGAGGAGCACCTGCCAGTATGTTTTCAGATTTCATAGCATTTGAATAAAATGGCCATTTAGCCCTAAGCCACTGAAGTTCCTTAGAAGCAGAAGCCCAAGCACTGGAATCTGCAAGGCTTTTGTGTTCCAAGTTTCCCTTCCTTCTTTATTCCTCCCAGCATTACTTAATCTGCAAATCAATACACAGAAACTTAATGGCTAAACTCGCTGGGTGCCCCAGCTTCCCTTCAAATCAGGCACACAAATGTGTGGAGGATGCTACTAAAGTAAAAAATGAAAGAAAAGACAAACTATAAGAACAAAGTTTGCATAAGAAAGATTATCTACCCTTTTCTTTTTAACCTACTCTCTTATAGAAGCTTAGGGTAAACTACAAATACCTGAGGAGTTGGTTACTTTTTAATGTTGGCTGACAAATGCATGAGCGATTATGAAAATTCCCATATTGAGTCCACTTGTATGTTTCTAAAAGTAAAATGACATGGCTTCTTTGATTGGGGAAAACTGATTGGAGTAACTCCTTATTTATCTGAAAGCATATGCCTAGTCTCGTCCCACTAGGACTTATGCATCAGTAAAATAAGATCTTGATTTTATGCACACATCAGGGAAATCACCCCTGAATAAACTTTAGACAGAGAATTCGGTACAATAATTTTATCTCATTTAAATAACTAAAGTTAAAATCTCCTCTAAGTTATTAAAAATGTTAATCAGATATGAATCTTAACATTTCCATTAAGACAATTACAATTGAAAACATTAAATGACGGCAGTTGCCTTGTAAAAGCCACCCGTATGAAAGGAGTACATGTTTGACAAAAATAAGCATAAAAAAGGTATTAAATCCCTGTTCCTTTTCTCTGATTTTGGCTGATTATGTGTGTGTGTGTATATACATATACATATATATACACACATACATATACATATATACACACACCCACACACACAAATACATAGTTATGTGTATATATTGTTTTGGAATGTCAATGGGTTCCATAACGGTCGGCTAGGTTCAAGCAGAACTTGCTCCCGAAGCCTAGAAAACAAAGTCATACAGAGTATAATCTTAGACAATTACCATTAAAAGGAGGTCATGAATGATGTTACAAGTACACAGATGGTCACAAGCGGCAACAAAGCAAAATGGACTGAGAGCCCTTTGCGCGAACCTATATTCCAGGGGCCGCAATTCCTATGAATGTTGAAAGTCAGGGGCACCTGGGTGGCTCAGTCGGTTAAGCGACTACAGCTCATGATCTCACAGCTTTGAGTTCCAGCTCCTGTTAGGCTCTGTGCTGACAGCTAGGAGCCTGGAGCCTACTTTGGATTCTGTGTCTTTCTCTCCCTCTGCCCTTTCCCTGCTCACACTCTGTCTCAAAAGTAAGTAAACATTAAAAAAACAAAAATTTAAAGACAGTCACATTTCCTTCTGGATAATCTCTGAGATACGCAGAGAATACATCTCTGGCCTATGTTGTTACAATGTTCAGGTTTTTTCTTTTTTTTCCTTTTCCTCTATAAATTCTTTCCTGTTGAAGCAGATGGCCGGAAGTTCTCTTTCTTAAACTTCTAATAACATCACATTTGGTAAATCTTTCTAAAATCATTTTCAAAGATTTATAGGACGACCTCACAGACCTTCAGAGTATCCTGAACTAGTGAGGCTCTTTCTCAAAAAAAAAAAAAAAAAAAAAAAAAAAAAAAAAAAGTCCAAGAGGAAAACCGGAAGTACTTATATTTAATTCAATGATCCCTCGTCAACAGGGAAATTTAAAACCTCATTTTCCTGGGGCGCCTGGGTGGCGCAGTCGGTTAAGTGTCCGACTTCAGCCAGGTCACGATCTCGCGGTCCGTGAGTTCGAGCCCCGCGTCAGGCTCTGGGCTGATGGCTCAGAGCCTGGAGCCTGTTTCCGATTCTGTGTCTCCCTCTCTCTCTGCCCCTCCCCCGTTCATGCTCTGTCTCTCTCTGTCCCAAAAATAAATAAACGTTGGAAAAAATAAAATAAAATAAAACCTCATTTTCCTGAACATTAATTCTCTAGGCTAAAAGTAAACCCTAAATTAAAATATCCCATTAAGAAAGAAGATAAACAAGTGAACTTAACAGCAGATTGTATAGATACGGCTAAATAGTATGGCGCTTTTACAGAACTTTTATCTAAGGGAATAACATGTGAATTAAATCAGGCAAAGACAAGTTAGCAATCCTGATTTCTACCAAACCCCAAGTTTTAACAAGGAATCTCTCAGAGAATTATTTAGGGACACATCCAAGATGCATAGTGGTAGCAGGGTCAACTCTTACCATGCTAATGCAAAAGAGAGATCAGAATCAGAGGTACTGATGTACTTAAAATATTTAACTACTCTGTAAGCAACATCTCAACTTCTCTCCCGGGAAGTTTTTAAACTGCATAAAAAAATACCATTCTTAGGGACCAAATGCTATAATGTCCAAAACACCAGAAGCACAATGCACATAGAAGATATATTTGGAAACATAGTGGAGGGTTTTGCCATTAATCTGCAAGCAATGAGCTGATGAGCAACATAAAACAAAAGCAAAAAATGAATGAAGATTTTAAAGCAGTGTTTCAGTTAAGGGGCATTAATTTAAAACTGAAAGCAATATTAGAGGGAAAAAATCTTCCTAAATTTTTGGCTTCTGGTAGAATGCCACATAACCTGGGGATTTCTCCTTGTATCATTACCTACGAATTAGAGGTTTAGGTAAGAGTCAGCATACTTGTATTCTCGTCTTCCACACTGTATCCTTCACTAAAGGATAATGCAGAAATATGTGCCAATTCGTGGTCAAACCAAGCCAGTCAAGACCTCCAAATATTTCTCCCTTTTTAAAAATGATTATGACTGACAAAAAAGGGGGGCAAAGGTATTTTACATTTTAAAGATTTTATATTTTACCTTTTTAAGGTTTATACTGGGAGCCAGTTACTGAACACGTATGACAAACAAACAGTGGCAAGAAGGAAGCCTTCCTCATTTAACCATGCCACCAGAGGGTCGGCAGAATCTTCACTACCGTCCCCCTTGGCCAGGGTCAAGTAGGAGGTATACAGAAAGGGGGGGGTAGAGAAGGCAAGAAGCCAGACCAGGGGGATTGCTGATGGTGCCCCTTGCCCACTCAACGGAGTTCTGGCTGGTGCACACTTAAAACTAAGAGTTCTACATCCTTTGACTTACGATTAGAGTGATCTGTACCTTGGGAAATAAACATTGAAGTTTTGACTCTGACAATCATTAATGCTATTAACAGCAACACCAAAATAGGCCCTGGAGGGGGTTACGGAGGAATTTATATCTAAACATTCTGCTGAGGTTTTAATTTAGGTTGAATATGCAATTATTTTGCATATAAATATGGCCTCCCCAGCACCCAACCTCAAACAAACCCATTTCCTTTACTCTTATATACTTAAACGTGCTTGTTTTATGCAAGTTGGAAACCTATGAAATCAACCACTTGTTAAACTTTATAGTTTAGTAAGAAAGAGGAGTCTTCATCTCACACTTTGGGACATCACGTGCAATCAGAAGGCACATTATTTAAAATTAGCTGTTTCAGGACGTAGGCAGTTATATAATATTTTTAAATAACATGCTGTTTAATAACAATACATTTGCAAAATAAGCAGTAATTACACAAAGATATGCGAGGGTTATCGGTCATTATGCAGAGGTGAGAGTATCTGTGGCAAAAGCAACTCAGGATTCTCTTACATTGATTAAGTTGCCTTTTTTTCCCAAATGAAAGTAGAGTACTTAGAATATACATACATATCACTGACCAGAGATCATTGACCTTTCTCACAATTAAGCTGAGGTTAGAGAAGACCAGGTTGTTTTACTGAGTGGGAATGTGAGTGTTGATGGAGTAATCTTGTTTGCTACTGAAAAACAGCTTAAGAAACAAAGAAAGTACAATCCAGGCAACGGAAGAAAAAGTCAGCAAAGGGTAAAAGACAGCAACAGAAACAAACCAATATTAAAAAAGTGGGGAATGTGAATTTTAGCAAGTTGAAAGGAATTGCTAGTATCACCTTCCAAAATGATAAAAATCAAACTGTCAGTTCAAGTGTACAACCAAATGTTCATTCCATTGAAAACCAAACACGTACAGCTAAAAATTAAAAGAAAAAAAACCCCCAAAACCAGAAATGGCCATTTTACTTTAGGGACAAAAATTAGCCCCTGCTTCGTGATAAGCCCTGAGACAGATGTTGTTCCTTTCAGCTTACTTTTACAGAAGGCGGTCTCAGTTGTGACAAGAATTCTGCCATCCAAGTGATGGGTAAACACACAAACAGAAAGAGCAGCACATCCTGTGTGATACAGACAACAAAAGCTTCTCCTGAAGAAGTGCAGTCAGTGAAAACAGAGAGAGAGAGGAAGTGAAAGTGAAATTCTTGGAGGGCGGTCACCTCCTCATCTCCACCTACCATCGGCTTTAGCTCTCTGGCATCGGCAACGCCTCCCTTACCAGCTTCTTTCATTGCTTTTCTACTGTTTTCCACAAACTCCTGCAAAATATGGACCAAATTGCATAAATTCTTAGGTCCTTTCAGATTTTGGTTGGCAGATGAATTCTAAGGAACACTGACATTTTTAATTCAATATCAGTACACGGATGGCCTAAAACCAGAGCAGTGAATAATATTTAGTATCACTACACAACAGCTGCTAAATCTGTGCACATGGGCTGCAACTTGTGATATCTTTAGGACATCTTTTTTCCATCCATTTATTGTGACAATCTCACTTAAGCTCAAAGAGAGAATGTTACTTCTATCTGGAAGAGAAAATCCCTAATGCTTTCTTAAAAGACTGTTTTCTCATACTTAGATTATTGTTCTATTTGTTGTCTGACTTTTTCCATATCAAGGTTAAACAGAAAAACAAGAGCGTTTTATTCCATAAGCCCTCTCTTTAAACTAGCCCTAGCAGGTAAAAGAAAGCATTGATTCTACTAAGCGCAGAATACTGTTTTTACCCAACCATAAATAAGCTACTTTTAAAAAATGTCTATCTGGCTTTGAAATTACTCCATAAAGCAGGAAGACAGGAAGTAACAACCAGAACCTGTGGTCAAAAGTAGTTAAAATGGGATTATGCCCCAAAGAAATGTTTCTATCATGTCCAAGTTTATGGAGCACTTCTCCATTAAATATCCTCATCATTCTTACTGAAAAAACTGAAAGAAGAAAAAAGTATTTTTTGTTACTCTGCTCTGGATCAAGGGTTTAAGACACAAAAAACAAATTCTCCCTCTTCTTTTTTTTAAGGTTTTTAAAATTTATTTATTTACTTATTTATTCATTCATTCATTCATTCGTTCGTTCATTTAGGTAATCTCTACACCAACATGGGTCTCAAACTTACAACCCCAAAATCAAGAGTCGCCTGCTCTATCAACTGGGCCAGACAGGTGTCGCCAAATTCTTCTTCTAAATGTCTTAATCAGAAGGGAGATGGAATGCTCACAAGTCAAATTCCATTATGAAAACAACCAGTTAGAAATATAATTTAGACATTATGAAAATTTCCAAAATTTAATTGATGGTGTTTTCAGTGAAAGAGATAATCAGTACCCAATACGTCCATTAAATCATTTGAAATTTCTGCAATTGAAAAAAAAATCTATCTTATTTATTAACACATTTATTTTATATTTAACTAGATAAACCAGGCTCCTGGAAGAGGACTTGTTATCTCAAGGTCTAATGTTTACCCTTCAATATTACCTACTCTTCAGATAGGAATATTTCACAGCTTAATGGCAAAGTACTATTATTAAGAAGCATCCTTATTTTGGGAGCATTTGACATTGATAATAATATTTGAAACATTTAAATAGTTTCTAAAGTTTTAAAATTTTTAATTGAGATTCTAATACAGGGAAGCTGCAGAGGCTAGATAACTAAAGAATCGGAATATAATATCTGTGTAAAAGTTCAGATCTTGACTAATGGAAAACAGTATATAATCTATCAGTCCTGAGTCTGTTAATCTGTATTCATTACAAAACACTTTCAGTTTGGCCTGGCATACTTAGGATAATGACTTCTAATGGGGCTGACAGCAATACTATTTGGAAAGGTGGTAGACGGAAAAATATAGGCAGGTGCTACCACCGGGGAAATAAAGACTTTTTGTCTTTGAGCTCCACTTCAAGAAAGGGCACTTAGAACATCAGTGGTCCAATGTTTCAATTCAAGGACTAAAATTCAGGTTGTAAAAAGTCAATTCTAATCCATCTAATTGCAGAGAGGGAGGGAGCAGTATGAAATAATGTGAACTCAGGACTATTAATGGGTATTGCTCTAGCTAAGTGTATATATATGGTCTCATCCATGCCAAGAGGACCTTCCTTCTTCCCTGATTTCCCCAAGACTAACCTCATTCGTGAGCCCTACAGGTTTAATTCTAAATTACTCAGTTGCATATAACAGGAATTAAACATGGAGAACGTTTTGCAAAATATTTTTACTAGTATGTTTACCTCTAAAGCAGTAGAGGGCGTTTGAAATACTTACCATCAGCACTTTATCCATATAGAATTCTCTGCCAGGGCTCCCATCATTGTATTTTGTATCAATGGCAAAACACAAGAATAATACATCCACTACCATTTCGTAAATGGACAGGAAGCAATGAGCGACTAGGAAAGCAAAGAGGCAGACGATGATCAGAGGCAGCACCCATACTGTGTAATCTTGCTGGTAGTTGAGCAGCATAATCCCAGCCAAACCCGTGCTGCAGACTATCAGCACCTGAAGCAGAGAGAACAAAGAACACATTTAATATCCTACCATAGAAAACCACTATTTCTTCATCATTTGCAGACTTCAAATTCCCTTTAATATTTATAAACGCTGGCTGCATACATTCATTCCACTGCAAGCTACAAAGGATAATTCATATATACCCATACACACACATATACATGTATATCACATAAATAAAAAATAATCTTTTAAACACTTCTGGTTTACATGAAAAATAGTCATGTTTCCAAATGTTATGCTTGTTCCTTAAAACTTCACGTATTTAAGCACCTGTGGCAATTTTTGAGACAAATGTATGCATGCATATTTTATTTTTAAAAAAAGTTTAATGCTTATTTAGTTTTCGAGAGAGACAGAGAGAGAGAGAGAATGAGGGAGGGGCAGAGAGAGAGGGAGATACAGAATCTGAAGCAGGCTCCAGGCTCTGAGTTATCAGCACAGAGCCCTACACAGGGCTCGAACTCAAGGACCGTGAGAGATCATGACCTGAGGCGAAGTCGGACACTCAACTGACTGAGCCACCCAGGCGCCCCTATGCATGCATATTTTAGAAAATTGCACTATTGCACTCAGAATAAAATTATTGACAGTCCAGGGTATTGTACTTTTATATATATGAAATAGTATTATATAAATAAATCATTAAAAGCTATTCATTAATATTTATAGTAGCATTATAAATGTTTCATCAATACTTAGCCGCATAATTTCATCTTATGGGTGACTTAAAATTTGACCATTCTCCTACAGTTGGAGACTTATATTGTTTTCTGATATAAATAATGCTGCAACAAACATCTCTAAGAGTTTTTTCTTTGTTTTGTATTTTTTCACAGAGAACATGTGGTAAATTTAATATGAGTCGCCATGTAGTTTGGATTTGGATTACCTGTGAAGAAAGAGGTTGCCACAAATATCCATCATAGAAGAATATAAGAAACAGTGAAATTGCTTATTTTTTTTTTTCCAACGTTTATTTATTTTTGGGACAGAGAGAGACAGAGCATGAACGGGGGAGGGGCAGAGAGAGAGGGAGACACAGAATCGGAAACAGGCTCCAGGCTCTGAGCCATCAGCCCAGAGCCCGACGCGGGGCTCGAACTCACGGACCGCGAGATCGTGACCTGGCTGAAGTCGGATGCTTAACCGACTGTGCCACCCAGGCGCCCCTGAAATTGCTTATTGTCAAGAACCACCTACTCTGGTCCCTCCCGTGCAGCACTTGAAATTTCTTGTGGTTCTTTTAATACATTTAGTTCAGCTTTTCAATCCCTAGGAATGGTTTATGGCAAACATTATCACCTTCATTTTATAGACTGGGAAACATATTCAGAGATGCTAGCCAACTTGCCCAAGGTCACAGAGTAGAAGGGCAGATATCACCCAAATAATGCTCTTATGATGCCAAATCCAGCCCTCTTTCAAGGTAAGAACTCAGCAAATACTTGGATATTGATATAAAGCAGTAATGGGTTATACTGAATCCTAAATACACTCATGCTCAGCCCTACACCTGGCCTAACATACAACATGAAATAACAAAGGAAAAGAAAGAGTCTTCTAGAACCACAGCAGCCTTTTCTGGTCCAGTGCTGAGAAGGAGCAGACTATAAATTGACCTGTAAATTTTCAGATGATTTTAGGGAGCAAATCTGGGTCTGCCCAAAATTTAGATGACCCTCCACCATTTTTTGTGGCAAACACTCAGGAATTCTCTCTTACAGTCATTTACTTTCTGGGGTGACTTCTATAGATAGCTAATTATATCCATTTTCTTTCACTCTTTTTGGTTTTTAGAATGAGTTGTTTCTTATATCTTCTTCAAATTATTGACATCCGTCCTACAGAAGGACTGAGGTTCTTTATGCTCACTCTAAACCACTAAAAGTTAAGCCACATTTGAAATATTAAAGTCAATTACAGGGAAAAGGTGCGGCTCCGACAAACTAGATGTTGAGACAAAATCTGTTGAAGTGGAAGGTTGGATACTGTCACATTAGAAACAACTTTAAGGGCCACCTGGGTGACTCAGTTGGTTAAGCGGCTGACTTGGCTTAGGTCATGATCTCATGGTTTGAAAGTCTGAGTCCTGCATCGGGCTCTCTGCTGTCATCACAGGCTTCATCGGTTCCTCTGTGCCCCCCACCCCAACTTACTCTGCCCCTCCCCCACTTGCACTCTCAAAACAAACAAATAAACAAGTAAGAAACAACTTCAAGAATTAATGATATTTAGCCCAAAAGCCAAGGGAATGTAATAATGTAATAATTACTCCCAAATATAACGAAAGGGTGTCAAGCAGAGGATACATTAATGGTTCTCAAACTGCAGAAGGGCTAGGTATCACTTGGGGAGTTTGTGAATAATACAGATTCCAGGGCCCTACCCCCAGAGTCCAAATGTTAGAACTAAGATGAAGCCCAGCAATATTCATTTAAAAGGTTCTTCGGGTGGGGGCAGCTGGGTGGCTCTGTTGGTTAAGCATCCAACTCTCTGATTTCAGCTCAGGTCATGATCACAGCTTGTGAGTTTGTGAGATGGAGCCCCAAACTGGGCTCTGCGCTGACAGTGGGGAGCTTGCTTGGTATTCTCTCTCTTCCCCTCTCTCTCTGTCCCTCCCCTGTTCATGTGTGTGTACATGTACAGATACACACTCTCTCTCAAAATAAATAAACTTTAAAAAATAAAATAAGATAAGATAAAATAAAATAAAATAAAATAAAATAAAATAAAATAAAATAAAATAAAATTTGCTTCAGGTGATTCTGATAAAGTCTACAAGAAGTACTGGCTCAGATCAGGGATCTCCATGGTGGGGTACACATACCCAAGGGAGAATTTAAGAGCACCTGGGACTTCAAATTATATTTCTCATTTATCTTAATTTCCTTTTATACTATGCTTTACCATGTATATATTAGTAAAAGCTGTACATATATCATTAATAAATGTAAATATATTAGGAAGTGTGCTCAAAAATTTTTTCTAATAGGACGCATGATTTTAAACATTTCAACACTCCTGTTCTACAGGACACGTTTTTGGTGACACCATAGAAGAGATTCATACACAGGGTAGGATGGGAGAAGCAGAAAGGAAAGGGTGTTAGTTTTAGAATCAGAAAGATGTAGATTTGAATCACAGAGTTAATACTTCTTAGTTTTGTGACTCCAAGCAAGTTCATGTAACCTTTCTGAATCTGTTTTTCCACCTTTAAAAGAGACATAAAAATACATACATCCCATTGTTAAAATAAGCATTCTGAAAGCATTTAACACAGTGCTTAGCAATCTTTGTTTGTTTCTTTCATTTCCACCATAAATCTTGCATTTGCGATGCCCTTTCCACATGGAGCTCATGTTTTAAAAGATTTTGTCAGTAAAATAGCACCTACAAGTAATAATTCATATTATCATTTTTATTAATCAACACCAAATAAACTACCAATAATTAATGTTAGAAAAAGTATTAGCAAATGAGATAAAATAATTTCACACAGAAGTGAAGAGCTTCAGATTTTGTGGGTTTTTTTGGATAGTTTTATTGGGCAAATATGCAATATCTATGAGACCTGAAAATGTTGAAATAGTTTGTAAATCTCTGTTGTTACCTGTGAAGACCCAATAGGCCAGTGGTCACAGATCACAAGCCACTAAACTAGGGGAGATAAGATCCCTCCTAAATCTAATTTACCATTCCATGAAACCACTGGGGTTCCACAGAAATGGAATCCATGGAATTGTTTTCTGTTTTCTTTTAAATTCAGGGTTTTTAAAATTAAATTTCATATTTTGAGACAATTTTGAATTCACATTTCATTGTAAGAAATAACACAGAATGATTTCATGTACCTTTTACCCAGTTCCCTTCAACAGTAACACCTTGTCAAACTAGAGTACAATATCACAACCCCAGTACTGACATTGATACAGACAAGGTACAGAACATCTCCATCATAACAAGGATCTCTCACTTTAGCCTTTTATTTTTTATTTTATTTTATTTTATTTTTAATTTTTTTTTCAACGTTTATTTATTTTTGGGACAGAGAGAGACAGAGCATGAACAGGGGAGGGGCAGAGAGAGGGAGACATAGAATCGGAAACAGGCTCCAGGCTCTGAGCCATCAGCCCAGAGCCTGACGCGGGGCTCGAACTCACGGACCGCGAGATCATGACCTGGCTGAAGCCGGACGCTTAACTGACTGTGCCACCCAGGCGCCCCACTTTAGCCTTTTATAACTTCCCCTATGCCTCCCTGCAACCTCAGCCCTAACTGGGTGACCGTAAATCTGTTCCCAATTTCCATAATGTTATCATTTTAAGAATGTTTATAAATGGTTCAAGCCCCATTTTGGAAGTAGAGCTTACTTAATTAAAAAAAAGAAAAGGTATGTAAGAGAAAATAATTTGGGGTACCTCCTGGCTCACTTAGACCATATGACTCTTAACCTCAGGGCCATGAGTTCAAGCCTCACATTGGGTGTAGAGCTTACTTCATTGAAAAAAAAAAGTATAAGAATGTTATATAAATGGAATCATACAGTATTTAATTTTCTGGGATTAATGTTTTTCACTCAGCAATATTCCCTCATGATTTATCCAAGTTGCTGTGTGTTATCCATAGTTTGTTCCTGACACCATCTTTTATAATGCTTATTCTGATCTACCTATGTGAACTATCTGATCAGGGACCATTTCTGCATACTAGCAGCTACTTTTAATTGCAGTGAAAGAAATTCTTTTTAAAAGATTTACTGTATTCTGTGATCAGAACTACAGTCTTAAAAAAGAAAACTGAAGAATGTTTATCTTAGTATGTTGGAAACTAAAATACTTTTTTCCCCTCTTATTTTTTTTCTCTTTTTTGGATATCTCAATTTAAAAAAAGTTATCTTGGGGTACCCAGGTGGCTCAGTTGGCTTACGTGTCTGACTCTTGATTTCGGCTTGGGTCATGATCTCTTTGTTCGTGAGTTCAAGCCCTGCATCAGGCTCTGCGCTGAGAGCACGGAGACTGGGATTCTCAGCCCCTCCCCAACTCACATTGTCTCTCTCTCTCTCTTTCTCTCAAAATAAATAAATAAACTTTAAAAAACAAATCAATCAAATAAAAAAAGTCTATCTCTCTATGTTTTAAAAGTAATTTTCTTACAGTGTTATAAGTTTTGTATTATTCAAACTTTCATGTTTCTGGTAAGCAATTTGGTAATGCACATCCAGAAACCTATTAGGTACTCTGACTCATTGATTCCACTGCCAGGATTCTGGCCTCAGGAAATAAGGATTGACACAGGCAAGGGTTTGCTTACAATGGCTTCCCTGTATCACACTTTATATTGGTAGAATGAGAACAGTTTAACTATAAAAAGAAAATTAGAGGTTTGGTTAAAGAAATGATGATACAATTGTATAACGATGTTTAAAACATTTTTAATAAAATAGTAAATGCTCATGACATAATATGAAGTGAAAAGAGAGATAGAGGAACCTGGCTGGCTTAGCCGGTAAAGCATGTGACTCTTGATCTTAGGGTCATGAGTTCAAGTCCCATGTTGGGTATGGAGACTACTTAATTAAAAATAACAAAAGTTAAAAAAAAAAAAAAAAGAAAAGAGATATAAAAATTGCCCTTTTTACCACATTGTTTTCTGTTATTCCAATATATGGCTTCTCTTTTATTTTTTATGTATTTATGTATTTATTTATTTATTTATTTTTGAGAGAGAGAGCACAAGCGAGAGACAGAGAGAGAGAGAGAGAGAGAGAGAGAAGTGGGGCTCACCCAGGGCTCATGTTTTACCCAAAGCAGGGCTTGACTCACCCAATGTGGGGCTCTAACTCACAAACTGTGAGATCATGACCTGAGCCAAAGTCAGATGCTTAACCGACTGAGCCAGCCAGGCGCCCTCTTTTATTTCAATTGTTCTGTGTACATATGTTTTTATTTTAAGTTGCTTCACATCCTTCTTAGTAGCAGGGATAAATACAAGTATGTAAAACATAAAATAGACAATAGACAAAAAATCTGAAGCCTTCCTAAATCAGTCATATAGCATATAAATAATAGCAATAGTTGATAACAGTAACACTGTTATCAACACTATACTCCTTGACACAGATTAACTTATTAAATCCTTACTATAAAACATTTCCTCTTATTGTAAAAACATGACAATAATAAATCCGACAGTCATAATGTAAGTTTAATTACAAATTTCCAAAAGAACTATGTGTACAGTTTTATCATTCTTTTTAGATGACAGTTGCCTGAGAACTTAACACCACACTGTGCTTTCCATGCCTCTCTACACCAAATATTTTTTCCTTTTCAAAAACATTTTCAACACACAGTGGCTGGAGTAACCTAAGTGTTTGGTAGTAACAGAATGTTTAGGAATAGCATCTGATGGGGGTGCCTGGGTGGCTCAGTCAGTTAAACATCTGCCCCTTGATTTCGTCTAAGGTCATGATCTCACGGTCATGAGATCAAGCTCCATGCCGGGCTCTGCACTGAGCGTGGAGTCTGCTTGGGATTCTCTCTCTTTCTCTCTCTCTCTCTCTCTCTGCCCCTCCCCCCTGCTCGCTCTCTTTCTCCTTCTCTCAAAATACATACATACATACATACATACATACATAACAATAACAAAAAAATAGCATTTGATGAAATACTGACAATAATGATAATGAATAATTATGAAGATTATCAAAGCAATATGAAAAATGTATATGATATAATGTGAAGTGAGAAGGACAGAACAAACTGGTATGTAGGCTATAATTATTATACCATAGAAATATAAACCTATTAAGAAAAACACTGGGAGGGCATATATAAAAATGATATTATTAGATTATAGTGATGTCAGCTCAGCTCAATTTTTCAAATTTTCTGAGCATTTTATGGTTTGAAATACAGATACAAAGAAATCCAATTATATTGCTATTTATTATTCTGCAGATTTTAATAGTATAGAAAAAATACCTTTTTTCAGATGCTTTAAGGATAGGTAAGTCTCATTCCCTCACATCTGTTTTATTTATTTATTTATTTATTTATTTATTTATTTATTT